TATTTCTGTTTATTTGTTGGTTGATCCAGAGATATATGAACTGACTACAGCTAAAATGGAGAACACCAGTGGTCGCAACAGTGCAGATGCATTTACAAAACTTATGGAGTCTATGGAGAAAACCAGAACAACGGCCAGGTTAGACATGTGCATGCATGAATACATACACTTTTAATATGCCTTAACATGATGAGCACAACTACATGGCTACTTTACAGGTAGAGAGGTTTAGAAAGATCAAAATAGGGTGTGACTCTGCTGCAATTACTGAGAAAATGCTCATTCTTTCTGCGTGTTTGACAGGAAGCCAGAAAGAGATGAAAAGATAAGCGAAGAAGCAGCAAAGGTCATCTCTCTTCTCCCTGACCTGTCCTTCATGCAGGCCAGGGTCCTAATGTTCCCCTCCATCCTAACTCCAGCAGCCAATCACATATAACCGAACATGGCATCAGTCAATCACCTTGCGGCCTCATCATTCATTGACGGTTCCAAAAACAGCTCAAGTCACTGTTTGTTCCATAAAAAAAAATCACATTTAATATAAAAATGGAATCTTTTAAAAGTTGCCTATTTCTTCACTTCCACAGTTGTTAATTTTTTTTTTTAACTGGATTGAATTGTCCTGGAATATGTGAAAATGTTTCTGATTATTTTTCTTTAGCAGTAAAGACACTTCATCTTTTATATACACAGTATTTAGAATAGCATATTCACCTTTTATGTATGATATATGACTTGTTTGTTATGGTTTTATTTTTGAGTGCTGTTTGTGAAAATGGGAGTTACTTTCAATGAGGTGAAATGCAGAATTGCACATTTTACTACTTGAAACCAGAGACTGTAAATGAATACTGACCCCTGGTTGCATATATATATATATATATATATATATGTATTATATGTGCTTTTTTCTTTTTATTTCTCTGTATTGTTTTAAATTTCATTCAGTTCAGTGCTTTCTTTAATTGATATGTAACTACCTGTTTTTAGGTCGTTGTTCACCTTTATCTTCTAACCATCCTTTCCTTTTTACTTTCAGTTGTTGTTTTATTTATTTTGTTTTACCACAACTGACAAGCACAGGAGAAAAGACTATATTATAATGCAGTTTTGATAATTTAAATTAGGGAACTGCTTCTTTCTGCATGTCTGCTTGTTTTGGTTGTTTGTCTTATTAATGTCTTGTCACTGTATTATTTTTAAGGTGGAGCTTTCGCACAATCGGATATAATATGAAAATGACAGCAGTATGACATCTTCAAGAAAAGATGGTTTGTACCGTTTCTGTGAGGAAAAGAGTGTGTAAAGGAAGTAGTGTCTTTGTCTTCTGTTTTACATTGTAGTTTAAAGTTTAACAACAATAAAAAGGCACAAAAATAGTATTCTTTTTGGATGGTTTTCAGCGTTTAAGATCTGCTCACTCTGGTGAATTGTCTATCCGGACGGAGTTGCTGTTTATATGTTTTCTGTTCTTTTCTCCTGTATGTTCACATTAGTGCTACTATATCAGTTTAATCTTTAGATATATGACTTATCTTTTCGTTTCCCCTCTCTCCCATATTTGTTATGCGTATCTATGTTTCATGCAAATAAACATGTTTATACTCGAGAGTGATTTTCTCCCCCAGAGGGAAACGACCTAGATTGTTGCGCAATCACAGTTGTCTGAATAAGACGCTCCAAAAGACGCACAGACAGGTGATCAGAATAATATGTAATGCTGTTTAACTTGCAGAGAACGCCTGTTTACTTGCAGTTAAACTCTGCAGTATATAACATGCAGTTAAACTCTGATCTGGAGCAGAATGAGTTAAACGGCTCATCTGCGCGCACCGAGCCGAGCGCAGCTCCTCACCGGCAGCATCTCGATCCCCGGCCCGGTAATCATGTCCGGTAATGGAACCGAGGAAACGCCTGACAAAGGCACGGAGATGGAGCAAAAAGTGAGTTATTGTGTTTTTTTCTTAATTTGTATGTTTACATTTTACTCCGAGTCTGCATGAGTGGATACGATGTGTCAACGTGCAAACGATGTAATGTAGGCTACGTTATGTTTTGATGCCGGTCTCTTTTTGAGACTCGAATCCTATAGAAAGCAGTCATTAACTGCGATTTTCGACAGGCGTTCGTGCATGTTTGTTAGGTTTAGATAGATGTGGAGAGCAGAAGACGGATTGGTCTACTGCTGCAGTGTCTCCCCATGACGCAGAACCGGAATGTAACAAGAGATGACCGTGCGACTCGTTCTTTTGAGCCGGATCTTTTAATTGAATCGGCTGAACTAAATTAAAAAGACGGTAAAATGAAAGTAAAATTATATGAATGATGGCTTATCATCACAGATAAGAAACACAGTTATAGTATTTTATCTTAACGACCAAAAACTAATTCAACCAAGAGGTGTAAAATAGTTTTAAAATTTATTTATTTTAAGTGCAAATTATATTTAGGTTCTAAATTACTTTATATTTTATACGCTGAATCATGCAACAAATTGATATGGGACACATTAAACCAAAACAAACACCCTTACACAGCATAATTAAAAAGTAATAAACAGATTTTTGTGCCTATATATAACTACTTTATTGGGGCTCTTAAGAGCGTATAAATATGCCACGCGATGGCGTAATTGCGGCAGGGTGCAAAAGAATTTGTGAATCGGGTTTTGAACCAGTTATTTAAAACGAACTGTTCAAAAGAACCGAGTCGCGAAAATGAATCAGACTCCCCATCACTAAGAAGCAGTGAACAATTTCAACAAACCGTTTCAACTAAGAAAACTCTTTGTTGTAATTGTAAGTTGTTATCACCGATGGATTGCTTTCTTTAAGGTGTTTGCTGCATGTGTCTGTAGAAATGCAGCATGGAGACTTCGTTATTTTCCCCACCTGTATTCCGACAACGCTGCTCTTTGCTGTACCACTTTTGCTATGAGCGCTATGGCTATTTGAGCGACTTCTCAACTGCCCAATCACAGATTGCTTCTGTATGGCTTCTCAGAATCGGATTGGTTAGTGAGGGGAGGCCGACCGCTCAGGGGGCGTGTCTTGTCGGTACAAGAAGAGACAATAGAAGAGACAAATAACACTCGCTACTACTGTCAGCCTGTAGCCGGCGGTTATAAACGCTGCGCATCGCTGCACCTGTCATGAAATAACAAATAGGTAAGTAGTTTGAAAGTTTGTCTGAAGGACCCAAACAGAGGGAGGCGCTTCCTCCAAAACAATGAAGAAATTGAAAACCAAGCCAGTTCAGCTGCTCAAAATGACTGTGTAGTAACGAAATTGTCAGCTGATTTCCACGTTGGCTCCTTAAATCACCTTAAATATTCTGAGTGAGGTTTAAACAATTATGACAATTAAAGATGTCCAAGATGATAAAAAGTAGGCTATAACTTTAAAATACGTGTTTTGTTCTTTCTAGAAATAATAATAAAAAGATTGTCAAACTACAGGTCAGAATTTCAGCCTTTTAAAAAGACAGTCTCCAGACAGTTACATCACCAAAACATTTTTGACATTTTTTATTTATTTATTAAAATAATTTTAATTCAGAATCTGGAAACGTGTTCTTCATATCGGTATATAGTCATTTTCAAAATGCATTTCTTAGTGTATTTTTGAATAATTTTATGATAATAATAAAACACCAGTTAACATTGATTACTTAGGGTTTCAGCGGGTCTTAAAAATTCTAAAAAATATTAGCAGGATGGATTCTGATTGGCTGTCAATTTTTTTATCGTTCATCAGCTGGAAAAAATTAGTTTTGAATGTGATTCCAACGATATCATTTCTTTATCGTTATAGTTGTGGTGTGGACTCTGCTATTCTTTAATATTGAGAACGATTTTTTGAACTATATATTTATCGTTATCTTTATAGTTATCGTCGTTGGTGTGAACGGGCCTTTAGTTGTGTCAAATTTAAGGCCATAAAAAGTCTTAAATGGTACAAGAAATTCTTAATTATGATTTCAAGAGGTCTTAAATTTGGGGACAGAATGACAAGAATTGCTATTGGCTTATAGCTTTATGATTAAACTTTGAAAGGCTATGATTTCAATAAATATGAGCGCTGCATGTCAGGTGTACTGCGGTTACCGGGGAAACCGCTTTTTTTCTGCCGTTCCGAAAGTGCCCCCTGCTGGCAGAAAATGAATTAGCATTTTCAGTAAGCCAGTCTGCTGTTATATTTTTACCCAGCAAACGCAGTAATAAATGTGAACCGGTGGATCGACAAGAAGCTAATGCTAAAGCATTGTAAAAATCCAAACAATTAAGATACTAAGAAATATTTTAATACTATTAAATTAATCTAACTGACTGATAATAATTGTTTAAATTAATATAATAATTGACACTTTTGACTCTTTTCTTATAAATGATTTAAAGGTTGAAATGTGAAGTTTATCATTTTATAAAAGTTTTTGTTTTGTGAAAACCTGTATCTGAACTGTAAATCATGTTTTTACAGTCATTTTACAGTTTAATGTTAACATAGACATTGCCCTAGCCCGCTCATGTGGTATTAATTTTATTTGTGCAGGTCTTAAAAAAGGTCTTTAAAAAGTCTTAAATTTGATTTAAAAAATCCTGCAGATACCCTGGTTCTGATCAGATATGCTCAAATCTTCGTCATCAGTCTTCCTTTCTCCAGGAGAGTCTTAATGCAAGGATTAGAGATCTTGATAGTGTTTGTGTGTGTTTTGTGATGAAACTGTGGGATTAAGTGTGCAGAGATTGAGCGAGAATGACAGATTCTGTGGAAGGAAGGAGAGATTACAGATTACAGTTCTGATGTCCCAGTTTGCTCCATCGGTATAGAGCAGGGGTGGCGAACGTCGGTCCTGGAGAGCCGCAGCCCTGCAGAGTTTTGCTTCAACCCTAATCAAACACACCTGAACAAGCTAATCAAGGTCTGAACGGTTACTAGGAAGCTACAGGCAGGTGAGTTTTCATTAGGGTTGGAGCTGAACTCTGCAGGGCTGCGGCTCTCCAGGACCGGAGTTCGCCAACCCTGGTATAGAGGATACTCAGTTACAGAATCTGAGCTGTTGCTAAGAAACAAATATAAGGATCACAAATAAGGCATCATATTTTGTTTTGTGTTAACAATGTAAGTCGTATGTGACGTTGTTATAGACAACACAACAAAGACATTTCCTTTAACACTTTTCAGGGTCTAAGCAGAATTTGTTTGAAACAAATGTAAATGTCTCCTGTTTAATTTTTGTTTCTTTACATTTTTAAAGCTGATTTGGATGCATGTATTTTTTTCTACTGTGGTTGAAATATTTATTTTGAGTTGATTTAATTTTTTTTATATGTAGCACTTGGAAAGCAGTACTATGAAGACTGACTTGGAGGCCGGGAGTTGCAGCGCTGCAATCCACTGTCGTGATGTGTGTCGTTCATATGGGAAACTTAAAGTCCTCAACAATCTCAATCTGACAGTGCCTCAGGGCCAAATGTGAGTCCACAATTTTGGCTTTCTAAATGTGTTTTCAAGCTACACCAATCTTGAATGCTCACTTTAAGCAAGAAAACATGCCTAAATGCTGACCTGATATTCATGTGACATGTCCCTGCCACATCCCTTAGGTTTTCTGCACTAGTAGCACAACAAACCTCTAAAATACTCCATACTGAGGGGCTAGAGAATCTAACACCTGGCCTTTGATCTGTGAATGTGATGTTGTGATGCTATTGCAGTGGCAGCTTGAATGTCCTTTTATTTACTATATATATCACAATTATCACTATAGGTCTGACTATCTGTCCTCTTATCATCTGTTTATGATCTGCTATATGCTGATAAGTCTTATCAGATCGATGTTTTAAAATATTTAAGTGTCTTTGTTTCCTTTTTCTAAAATAATGTCTGGAAGCAGCTCTAACGGGCCCAGTCCACAGAAAAACTGACTCGCTCACAACTATCACATACAACCTTGCCAAAGAACTATTTGGCGAGCACAGTTTGTAAAAGACCCATATGGTTTCACAAGGACACTTCCAAGCCAGCCCAAGCCTGGCATATTAACCAGCGCGAGGGAGGAAGTAGAGGAATTCCTAAAAGAAGCTCATGAAGACCTCTGCAGAGATGAGAACATCTGTAGACCAAAAAAACTGAATGGGAAGGTGCTGACTATAGGCAGGAAATCCAAGACATCATCAAAAGAGCCAAAGCTTCAGGTGCCCCAGGTCCAAGTAGTATACCATATAAGGTATACAAGAAAAGCCTGAAACTTCTGCAAAGGTTGTGGAAGATTTTGAGGAAGATCTGGGCCAAAGGGTCAATTCCAGCAAGCTGGAAGCTGGCAGAGGGATGTTTTATCCCAAAAGAAGAGGGTTCCTCCAGAATCGCTCAGTGTAACTTGTCTAAGTCAATCTCCCTCCTGAGTGTGGAATGCAAAGTTTTCTTCTCTGTGCTTGCTAGAAGGTTGACCACCTACATGATGCAGAATAATCACATCAATACTTCTATTCCTTCCATTCCATTCCTTCAATACAAGTCCAATCCTGGGCTTTTCAGGCTGTCTGAAGCACACATCAATGATCAGCCAGTTGATCCGGGAGGCCAAACAGAAGAAAGGCGATCTAACAGTGGTCTGGTTGGATCTAGCGAATGCTTATGGATCTATTCCACATGACCTCATCCAGCTTGTACTTGACTATTACCACATCCCAGTTGCTATTCAAGATATGATCACCAGCTATCTAGGTGGGATCAAACTGAAGTCAACTGGCAGGATCTCCAGAAGGGAATCCCAACGGGATATAGCATTTCCCCTACCCTCTTTATCATGGGCATGAACCTTCTAATAACAGCATCTGAAGGCATAACCCGTCCTGGAGTCAGGTGTTATTCAGCCAGTGCTGCAGGGTTTTATGGATGACCTAACAATAACAACTGTGATGCATGCTCAAGTGAGGTGGGTACTGGAAACCCTGGACAACGTAGCCACTTGGGCAAGGTTGTCATTTAAAGGCTAGGAAGTCCAGAAATGTTGATCAGGAAGGGCAGAGTCACAAGCAATTTTGGCCTCCAAGTTTAAATGCGAGATCATTCCATCCATTGAGGACAGCCCTATAAAGGTTCTGTGCATCACTGAAAGATGGTGCCAAAGTTGCAGATGCTGTAAAGCAAACCGAAGAGTGGTTGAAGAAAACCAATAGGTCCGGACTCCCCAGAAAATTTAAATCCTGGCTGTGTAAGGCTGCATTTATATGATCATACAGATCATAGATTTTTGATAAAATACAGTAAAAACAGTAATACTATAAAATAACCATTTTCTGTTTTAATATTTAAAATTTAATTTATTCCTGTGATGGCAAAGCTGAATCTTCAGTAGTCATTAATCCAGTCTTCCAGTACTCCAGAAATCATTCTAATATGCTGATTTGGTGCTCAAGAAATATATATATTTTATTAATATCATCAATGTGCTTCTGAACATTTTTGTGAAAACGGTGATACTTTTTTCCAGGCTTCTTTTGAATATATAGTTAAAAAGAACAGCATTTAGTTCAAATATAAATATTTTGTGACATTATAAATGTCTTTACTCTCACTTTTGATTAATTTGAATTTAAATATTAAAATTGAAATTTTGAATTTAAATAGGATTTGAATTACTCATTGTACTAGATGTGCTCTGTGGAGGATTGACTGGATCTATGATTATGTTTGTTTCCTGTCCTTAGTTATGGGCTGCTGGGGCCAAGTGGCTGTGGGAAGACTACGTTGCTGAAATGCATTGTGGGAACTCTAAAGATATCACATGGTCATATCACAGTGCTGGGGAAACCACCCGCTTTCCCAGGACATGAAGTGCCAGGAAGGATGGTGGGATACATGCCACAGGTGAAAGATTAGTAGAGGCTGGTGTTCACCCATAACGCCTCGTGTATGATTATTGCGATAAGTGAATCCTCTTGAGTTTCATATATTTTTCCTCTTTCTTTTTTCATTCTCTCTGCCTTCAGGACATAGCTCTGTACAATGAGTTCACTATCAGCAACACACTATGGTTTTACGGTCGAATTCATGGCCTTTTGTCTAAAGAAACAGAAACCAGGATGAATTTCCTCATTGATTTCCTAGGCCTGCCACAGAAAAACAGCCTTGTGAGAAATCTCAGGTAGAATGATTTTTCATTTCATTCATGACTTTTTGCAATGATCATTGCAGTGATTTTTTTTTTCAAATGTATAGTTGACCTAGAAATGAAAATTCTGTCATCATTTATGCACCCTCATGTTGTTCCAAACCATGTGAGTATTCTGAAGTGTTACAACAGCTATTTGTGAGAAACCGACGGAAATTTAAGTTTTGTGTTTCACAGAAGAAAGGAAATCATATTTTGGGGGTTTGAAATGAATGGCTTTGAAACAAAATGAGGCTGAGTAAAGGATGACAGAATTCTGAAAGAGACAGAGAGGAGGATAAAACAAAATGAGCTCTGTTCTGAAAGTTCTCACACTTCATCTATAGAGGCCTTCTAGGGGTCAAATAGTCATGTGACTACAATGGGTTTTATATGGACATCTGAATGAATGGGTAAAGAAATGTTTATTGACGTTTGTTTGATATCTGACATAGAGGTCATATTGGCAGATGAAGTGACAGATTCCCCAGTACTATTTATGACTGTTGTGTGTGTTTGTAGAAAATAAGGTTTATTATTATGATTATTTTATACACAGAGGAGATTGACTTCATTAAGGCCAAGGAATGTGAAGCATGAGACTTTTAGTTCATTGCAGAAAGGCATCTAGTGTCCTGTCGTCCTCTAGATGTAGTTTGTCTGTTTTTGTTTTTACAGTGATGAGCTGGCTCTAGGCAGGGCTCATCCATCTGAAAAATAAGACAATGGCCCTGAAGGTCTTAGAGATCAAACTAGTCAATTTCTCCTTTACAGATTGGGTTAGTTAAGTTGGGTTGGGTTAGTGGAGTTGTGGTAAATCCTGGGATACCTTGTGATTCTCCAATGATCATTTAAATAATTAATGTTTAGCGTAATAGTTGGCTGCAAAATTTGTTAGTAATAAGAAGCATTTCCTTTGCCAAATATTGTTTATAAAAACTAATTTTGTGGTTAAAGTGAACACTATTCACAGTCTATTGCTCCACACATCAGTTTTAGCTAAATAAAATCCATAGAAAACTATAGACCATTAATTAAATCATGAGAACAGAATACTTTATGACTTAGTATTTTATTTTATTTTTTTTTATTGCTTATATTTTATATTATTATATTTTTTGCTTATCTTTACTACTTATTATTTATATATTACCATTTCTTTTATCTATTTTTTGTGGTAATTTATTTCTTTTATTAATTTTATTTTAATATTTTTTTGCAATTACCTTTTGTAATTTTTTATTCAGTGGCGTAAATGGGCTTCCATAGGTGTCTGCAATGTTGTTGCACATTTGACAAATAACACTTTGACTTAATTTATTTGTATTTTTTTTAATGAAAGTTCATAACTGACTATTTACGTACATTTATTCACTTTGTTCAGTGGAGGCCAGCGGCGGCGTGTCTCACTTGGAGCTGCTCTGCTTCAGAACCCACAACTTTTGATCCTGGATGAGCCCACTGTGGGAGTGGACCCTGTTTTGCGGGCCAAGTATGCACAACATACCTCTATCTCCAGTATTCATCTGTCTTTACCTTCCACAGCATCTTCCCATCACCTTTACTAAGCTTCTAATGCATTCGTACTAATACCAGCACTACCAGTCTGTCTCTCCCATTTATGTGTTTGTGGATGAACCTTGTTCTGCATTCTAGAAGCATGAGGTTTTTGCCTTGCACCACTCCTTTCTCTTTCTCTCTCTCCCTCTCTCAGACATCTCAACTTAACATTTTAGCTTACATTCATAACTGTGCCGTAACTTTCCTCTTAAGCTTTCCTAATATTTTGTGTTTCACTGCAGGCTGAAACCTAGACTTTAACACCTTGAAGTTCATTTCATTAACTTGTTCACTTGTTCGTTTCAAATATTATAATTATTTAAGTAGCCTTTTCAAAGACTTTCCTCAGTGGATTTGTAGTATGAAGATCTTTCACAATGCATAATGGGCAAACAAATCCCAGTGGACTCTTTTGCATGCCTTTGTTTGATCTTTCCATGCGAGTGCATCCTGAGTATGTGACTTGCTGAGGATTATCCTGCGTTCTATAGGCTCAAGATTCCAACTCATTATAAACTTTTCAAGAAAATAAGCTTTATGCTGTAAATTCTCAGAGACAATCTACATTTATTCTTGAGTTTGATTAATTCATGAACAAAAGGAAGTAAAGAACATGTAGACGGAGAAGTAGCCATGAAAGGAATGAGTCTACAGTATATGGGTAAAAAGAGGGTCACTGTGTCACATTTTTATATATGATGCAGCAATTACTGGGCAGAACATAGATGCAGATATGTGATGAAAACTAGAAACTTTCATAACCACAGCCCTCTGATATCAGTGGCTTTAATACTTCAGAATGTTTTATTGTTTAGAAATTTATTTTAGATTTTAGATATTTAGATATTTCTGCTGAGATCACATGGGTGCCAGTCAGACCCTGTTGAACCCTGCTGAAATCCTCTTACACAACAGACTATTGGCCAAGCCTGTCTAAGCCTTCAACCATTTTGGGGTGCTTTGCTTTGTAAGATACTAACCTATGCATTGTGTATGCTAAGAGTGTTCATTTACCACACACACACTACTGTTTAAAAGTTTGGGGTCAGTAAGATTTTTTTAATGCTTTTAAAAGAAGTCTGTTGTGCTCATCAAGGCTACATTTATTTGTCAAAAATAAAGTAAACACAGAAATACTACAAATTGAAATAACTTGTCCATTTTAATATATTTTAAAATGTAATTTATTCCTTTAGTAGTGAAGCTGAATTTTCAGCAGCCATTACTCCAGTCTTCAGTGTCACATGATCCTTGAGAAATCTAATATGCTGATATGGTACTCAGGAAACATTTCTAATTATTATAAATGTTGATCAAAAATTGTGCTGCTTAATCATTTTGTGGAAACATTACATATTGTTTCTAAATTCTTTGATGAATTAAAAGTAAAAAAGAACAGTGTTTATTTGAAATAGAAATATTTTGTATTTTCTGTCCTGACACTTTCCACTTAGTAACAGTTTGTGTTATCCCATGTCACATGTTAGCTTTATGGATTCATTTCAGGTTTGATTCCCAGGGAATGTTGGTACTAATAAAAGTATATGCATTAAAGGTTGGTTGCTTTAGAAAAAAAAGCATCAGCCGAATGCTAATGCAAACATATAAATCTCATAAAGACAAAAGTCCCATTAAAAAAAAAAGGCACCACACTCATGCAACAAACTCTCCACTTCTACAGGATATGGCAGCACCTGGTAGACATTGTAAGAGGAGGACAGGTTTCCGTCATTATTACAACGCATTACATTGAGGAAGCTAGACAAGCCAATACGGTAAGATACTTTCCTGAACTGACCACAAACCTGTACCAGAATTCACTCCCACTCTTAGTTAAAATATAAAGATGCTCAGTTTAAATGTAAAGATATAAAACAGAAGTGCATGATTTAATGGAGTCATTCTTAGATTTCTGGGTGTGGGTGTTTCTTGAACAGATGAACCACTCTACTCATTACTCATACAGATTTGTTTCTGTAATCCCTTATTATAGTCGTGATTCATTTGCCAAATGTACTTTGTACTGTGGCCTATTACATAACCTTAAAACTAGCTTTTGGCAAAAAGGTGAGCTTTTATGTTTGAATTAGCAGTCTTTCTTTATAGTAGATGCTGGTTAGTGTTTTCATGGTTTCATATTGCTGGTATTGAGACCACTGACAAACCTGCAATAATTAATGGGTATTACTGTATATTATGTCAAAAAAGGCACTGGTAGACGTCAGACAGCCGATTCCGGGAGTAGAATCAGGAACAATTTTAGTCACCTGACTCTGTTGTTTAATTTTATTTCTCTTTAAAGTGTTGTTCTACCAGTTTGGCTCGAGGGCATGACGTTTGTTGGTTTGAAGCAGCGCATCATTTTGTGTGACTGTGTAGCGTCAACCAGACAGTTGCTACATCAATGTTGATTTATTACTCTTGAGTCACATGCACAAACAACACAGAGTGACACCAAAGACACAATCGCAACATGCTTATGTACAGTACACTCACCAACCCAGAACAGTGATGTGAATTTCTAAATATGAGAAGTATTCCTTAAACAACAATACCACGCACCCTTTTCTCTCATCCCTGTCTCTCTCATTCTCTATCCATAGGTAATGAGATGAGATTTTTTTTTGTCTTTGAGGAAATTTGCAAGTGAATCATCTTAGACTGATTTATACTTGAATGAATAACTTAAAGTAATAGTTCACCCAAAAATGAAAATTTGATAAAGAATTTCACATCCTCAGGCCATTTAAGATGTAAATTAGTTTTTCTTCATTGGAACAGATTTGGAGAAATAGTATTACATCACTTGCTTACCAGTGGATTCTACAGTGAATGGGTGTCGTCAAAAAATGAGAGTTCAAACAGCTGATAAAAGCATCACAATGATCCACAACACGACTCCAGTCCATCATATTTTGGCCAGAAATTACAGTTTAAAGTTAAATTGCCTTACTGATGGATTTGTTTCTTATAAACACACAGCTTTTCACTTCGTAAATTGATGGACTGGAGTCATGTAGTTTACTTGTGGATTATTGTGATGTTTTTATCAGATGTTTGGACTCTCATTCTGATGCCCTCATTCACTGCAGAGGATCCATTGGTGAGCAAGTGATGTAATGCTAAATTTCTTCAAATCAATTACACTGAACAAACAAACTCATCTACATCCTGGATGGCCTGAGGATGAGTACATTTTCATTTTGGGGTGAACTATTCCTTTTAAGCCATTATACCATTAGGTCTTTTAAGCTATAAAAGAGCACCATATGAGCAAAAAAAAAAACTCTGTTTTTCTCTCTCTTTAGGTGGGTTTGATGAGGAATGGTCGATTGTTAGCTGAAGGTCCCCCAGATGCTGTTATGAAGCAGCATAATGCAGCAGTAGGTACACACACACACATCTCATATGCACATACATGCAAAATTATTCGGTTAATCTTTCAATTGCATCTATGTGTGTGCATTAGACATTAGAGAGTGCGTTCTTGCAACTTTGTGAGGACTTTGATCAGATGGGCTCCAAACAGAGTCCTCAGGGCCGTCTAATCGACAGCAGCCCATCTCCAGACAGTATGAGAGATGAGAGCAGAGAGCCCATACTGAGAAAGAGCACACCAGAAGACATACCCAAATATAAAGGTACAACAAAGAGGGAGAAATTCACTTACTCTAAAATACTGCATGCAAAAGTTAAACTAAAACTCAAACAGAAATTCTCTTTTGTACAAGAATGACATAAAATGTCACTGGTTTCATAAATGTACCTAAAAATATGTATTTAGAATAGCATCTTTTGATCACCATTTAGACTGATGCTTGCAGTTGAAATGTTCTTGTGTCTCTGCAGCTGACTGGAAAGTGCGAGCAAGACACGTCATACCAAAATGGCGTAACATTGCAGCGCTGATGATCAAGACGATGGTTCGAATGAGGAGAATGCCAGGGTAATGATGTCCTAATCAAACTATTTATGGACCCTTTGGACAGACTGTGATTTTTAATGTGAAGTTTTTCGTTTTTCATTTTTTAAAAATGTAACAGATTTATAACACTATATGTTATATTAACTTGGCATTCAATTACAAACAACTAGTTGCTGTGACTGCAAATTTGACATTCTTCTTATTTTTTTCCCCCACTTTTGGAAAGTCAGTGGTTCGTCCGCAATTATAGGAAGCTACGAGAATACTTTTTGTGCGCACAAGGGAAAAAAAACCCGACTTTATTCAACAATTCGTCTCCCCCGCGTCACCCTGGTGCCATTTTGGAGAATATCTGCAGGACGCAAACATTGTATGCTGTTCTGTGTCAGATGTGTCACGCCGTTTGTTGTTGTTGTTGTTGTTGTTTTGCTATTGGAGCAAATGGGATCCCAGCTATAAATATTTTTTGAAAATGGTCAATTTTTTTATTTCTTACTATTAAGCAAACTGAATAAATGGATAACTGCAGTTTGCGGACGCAAACATTGTATGCTGTTCTGTGTCAGATGTGTCACGCCGGAGGAGGCTGTTGAATAAAGTCGTTTTTTTTTTCTTTTGCATCAGCAACTGCTGTAACTGGATTCCATTTCCTCCCTGTCGCCAATGTTGGAGCAGCATCTCTTACACAGGGATCGTGGGATTCTTTAAGTGTCATCTCTAGCCTCACTTTGGGGCATTTGTACTCCTCCACAAGGCTTGTAATAGGAAGAGAGAGAGCTCCATTGCCGTACAGCCCTATGCTGCTAAGGCATCTTGGTAGCCCAGTCCATTTCCTCAATTGTGTACTCACCAGTCTCTCCAGGTGCTTGGCGTGAGATAAATTGAGCTTGTATATGGAAATTGGCCACATAAGCCATGGCAACAAACCAAATTGGAGCACCACAGCTTCAACTTCCCCAGAAGAGCTGTTCCATTGATTCTCTTGAGTCCACTGACTGTCTCTTGCCTGAGTAGTTCCACCTGTTTTGAGTCTTTAAGGTCTGCGGTGTAGCAACGTCCAAGGCTTTTGATGGGCTTTTTCATGACCGTTGGTATGGGCTCTCCCGCTATACAGAACCTGTCCTTAGTAAGTCGGCCTTTGACAATGGAGATGCTGCGAGATTTTCCGGGTTTAATCTCCATTTGTGCCCATCTGATGTTTTCCTGGAGCTTATCCAGCAGCTGCTTAGTACATGCTTTAGTCATTGTGATGGTAGTCATATCATCCATTTATGCCCTGATTGGAGGGAGCTGCAACCCATTTTTCAAACGTTCCTCTCCAACCACCCAACGGGATGCCTGAATTATGATCTCCATTGCCATTGTTGTTCTTCAGGAATGCTGACAGTCTCTGCGCCACAACGCTGAAGAAAATCTTACCTTCCATATTCAGGAGGCTAATTTGACGAAACTGGTCAATAGTTGCCGAATTTTTTTCCTTGGGGATCAAAATCCTCCAACCCTTCTCCAGGCTTTTGGTATCACCTGCTTTTTCCATGCCACTATCATTAATCTCCAAAGGTACCTCAAAACTCCTGGGGCATTATTGTAGAGCTTGGATGGAATACCGTTGGGTCCAGGGGCTGATGCTGATCTTGCCCGCTTTACCGCACTCTCAACTTCGCACCATTTTGGGGGCCTTATGTCCATCTGGTGCTCCGGCAGTTGAATTGGTGGCATGTCTTTTGGAGTGGAGATTGGCATGTGCCTCTGATTGTCAGAATAAGTCTTTCTCAGGTGTTCCTCAAGATCCGCTATGGGTACTTTAAGGGTACCGGTTTTCTCCTTGCTAAAGAGACTACTGACGAACTTGTAAGGATCTCTATAGAAGGTAGTCCTGGTTTGCTCCTTCTTCTTTCGTTGCTTTCTCAAGCTTTCTGCTCTTCGTAGCGTTGCAAGTATTACAGTTGTATTACAGAAACCTCCTAACTTGACAAAAAATCCTAAAAACTGTCTTAACTTTAGGACAACCCCACAGCTGTCCTACCTTCAAACTTATTTGAAAGCTAACGGAAAAACCGCTTACAATTGTGCTGTCCAACAATGGTATTACATTTATTAATAATTGAAAATGAAGAATGAGGATGTTTAATGGTAGAAAGACTCTTGGAGGACCCTGAAGATGTTACATTTTGATCACAAAACAATTATAAATAATTACAGACTGCCGCGCAACATGATATTACAGTTAGCACAGGAACTGCAACCAGCATTACAGAGACCAAAAAAGCGTCACGGAGCATTGTTTACCTCATCAGCAGCTCACGCAGTGTTGGTTGCTTGGTAACAGACCTGAGAGTGGATTGTCGAGCTTGATAATGCAATTTAAGATTTTCTAACTAGAAATAAGATACGATTTTGTAAGATAGGATAAGAATCCCAGATCAAGTTAAGATTTGCTTCTGTAATACGAATTTCGGAAAAATCCTAATTTAACATATCACATCCTAAGTTAAGACCTAAGATAAGAGACTTTCTGTAATACGCCCCCAAGTTTCCCTTCTACATCTCCTTTCAGGCCTTCTAGCAGCTGAACGAGATCTGTGTCAATGGTTTCCCACTCGTTGTGGCAGGATTTAAGGCCAGGACACACCAAGCCGACTTCAAAGAACTAGCGGCGACGAAAGCCGACGGTGTTGTCGCCTCACGTCGGCAGCGTTGGACCAAAAAGCTGCGCTCGAACACACCGCACAGACTACAGCCGACGGCAAACTAACGTGCGTTCTGTGCATGCATGAGAGGAATTAACTGTCTATATCAGCAGCTATCAATAAAGTATATATTCGTCATTCAAAAGGAGAAACCGAAACAAAGATATACGAGATAAACGCAGATATACAAAACGTAAACAAAGCAGTGCTTGCTTACCATTTTAAATATCAGTAACGTTGACAACTTTAATCATTTTAAGCGGCTCATGTTGTTATGAAAACTTTTGCATATTAGAATGATTGGGAAAGATCACGTAACATTTAAAACATGTTGAATCGGGCAAACTGCCACCGACGTGAGCCAACGAGTGGAACACACCAAACAAACTAGCCCGACCGTCGCTCGCCGTCGGCCCGACTGATTTGCCCTACCTCTGAGGTGAAGTATTGGTCAATACGAGGCCCCTCACTAAGCTCTCTCAGGCACTTCTTCCTGCCCTGATGGATTTTAAGACCCTTCTCTGATGTTATCTTCGCCCAGCCGCAGATGCATCTCTGTAGTTTTTGTCCTGTCAGTCCTATAGTTCCAACCTCTGTTGTGCTGTTCTCCTGGCTCATTGTCATTTCCGTTCCTAAGTCTGTTACCGTGTGGTCTGTCCATGAGTCATCTTGCGCCCCCGCTCTCGCAGACTCCAGGGGTATTCTTCTTCTTGTGGTTTTCATAGCCAAAGATGGGTGGACCCTCTGCACTATGTAGTGACGGATCCTGCCGGAATGGGTAGCTATCCCATGCCAGCCCCGATAGGGTCTATTCCCTCCAGTCAGCAGTCTTTCCTAGCTGTCACTAGGTCTTTCCCTGGTTGTCAGCTGCCCTTTCACAGCAGTCACTGGTTTAACCAGGTAGTTTAGTTTGCATGATGGGACTAGGTGTTATGATCCCAATATTCAGCACCATTTAGCTGCACTATAGAACATTTTCTCCTTCGCTGTGAGCAGAACACAGCGAGACGCAGCAATTGTTACGCTCTAATTTTGGTTCAGCAAGAATCCAGGATCATGGCCTAATCCAT